AAAATGGATGATTTGCATGATACCGGGGCGGGCGGAACGGCCGCTGAGCACAGAAGTGAGAGCAGTGAAATTGTGCTCAGTGAGAGCGTCATGCAATCAAGACAATAGTGTCACAGCTACTCTAATCATGAAACCATCAAACATGAAATCGTCAACATGACATGGTGTCCTGCACGCAAGGTAAGCCTCATCCACAGCCTTTCCACGCCACATCTGGTTTCTGGGATACCACCCCTTCCTCAGCGCCGACCCCCCCGCGGCTTCTTGTTTTCCAGTTTGTCCCGGCCTGGCATATACGGTGCCGCAACGCCCACAAAAGTCCGCCCTGTTCCCGTCGGTGCTGCCTTTGAATTCAAAAGGCGCCGTCGGACCCCACAACGGCTGGCTGGCCCTGGTTCGGGCGGGCACGCTGCTCTGCATGTAGCTTGTCGAGCGAGTCGCCGACGACAGCGTACTGCGCCCAGTTAATGGGCGGACACCGTACAATATTTTGTGGACGCGGCAGGTTCTTCCATGGCTTTGGCGGTTCAGCGCTCTTGGGTTTCGACTTAATCTTCGGCTGCCGTAGCGGGTCCCCGTCGACGGCGGATCCACCTGTCAGCGGCACGTCGCCTGAAGGCGCGGCTCCAGGTTCGTCGTCATCGTCGCTCTCGTCCTCGGAGGATGAGGAGTCGTGTGCCTGCGCCGTGGGGAAGAGGGGGTCCTGCTGGCCATGGATCTTGTTGGCAGTCAGATCGGCGAGAAACGCCTCGGGATCGGCGGCAGCCGCATCTTTTGCCGCGCCGAGAGCACGTATGTCGTTGGCCGCCCTCTGGCGCTGGAGCTGCAGGATGGATATGGCGGACTTGAGGGCCAGGACGTCAGGGTTCGCGTCAAAGTCGATCGGTTCGGGGCGCGGTGGGGGGATGGCCGTCGCTGCGGCGTCGGGCACGGGTTGGTTGTGGGTGAATGTCTGGCGACCTGCAGAGAAAGATGCGGCGGATGAGGCGGGGGGCGGAAGCTGTTGCGGGTTCGGGACCGGCGGAAGCTCGGTCGCGGGGAGTGTTGGTGTTATGGGACTTATTGGGGGACGGACTGGCGAGGTCGAACGAGATTGTGATTGTGGCGCGCTGCCTAATGGGTTTGCTGTTGACGGCGCTTTCGGTGGCGCCTGCGCCTGAGGTTGGCCTTGGGTCTGAGCCTGGGCATGTGCTTGTTGTGCCTCGAATGGTGTGGCTGTCGTGCGTGGGGACACGGAGTCAGTGGATATCGTGAGGCCAGGCATGGTATCAATGGGTGGTGGTCTGTGGTGTTGAGGGAAGGTGGTTGGTGCGGCGGCCTTGAGCGACGTCGGCTTCAAACGGGCATGGCGGGGTTAAGAGGTGGGGGTGGTCTGAGCGCAGGGGCGAGACCACTGGGTCATCACTGAATGGCGATGGCTGGCGCACTGACAGGGCGCATTTATTATGACACCCACACCTCTGGCAGCTGACAAAGATTCAACATCTCAATCCCCCTAGCGAGGTACCTAGGTCTGGTAAGGTGTTCAGGACCAGAGTTCGGGAGATTCAACCAAATGCCTGCTTGGCGTAGGATGCGGCTCATAGTGCGTCAACAAGAGCTGAACAAACACGCGGCAACAGGAATCCGGTCCAATTTATGATCCTTGGTGTTCTTCTCAATTCAGGCCTCGCAAAACCAAGCAGTCAGTGCCCCATGCAACGCACCCTACAAGGATGGCCCGCATTGCACAGACTCCCGATGCAAGATTTGACGAGACCCGGGTCACCCATGTCACTCCGTTGGGCGGGCTGCGTCTGCCAGACCAGCAGCGAGCGCCTTGGGGCACGGCGTTTCCAACAAATTTACCAGATGGAAGCCCCAACACTCGAGTTGAGAGCATGCCACCTTGCTGATCAGATACAACCCAACATTTGGGATGATCGGCAGCAGCTAATCCGATATTTTTTTTTCAACCGCGTGGCCAGCCAACGAGACCCTAGTGCAGCCTCACAGGGCCTCGATCTCGAAGCCGCTATACGCGATTTGCCTGTTCGGGGTGTTTCGCGTGTTTTTGCCATCGGAATTCCCGCCAACGGAGGCGCCTTTTCGGGCGCTCATCCCCACATGACAATGCCTGGCGAGGGTTTCGACATGGGTCCGTCACATGGAAGATGAGGAAAAGTAGGGGGGAAGAGACAAGCCGCGCCCTAATTCCGCGAGAATGGACGAGCAGGAACCAGTCGGACGATAGCCTGCCAAAGCCGATCTCTCAATTTTGCGCCGGCCACGCCCAAGTCGATCGGTACGATTCCCATCAGCATGGTGTCGTCTGTTGCCCTGAGCGTTATCTAATTACAGGCTGACTTTGCGAGTTTTCCTTCTCTCTTGTGCCATCTGACCTCGTATTGGTCTCAAGCAAACCCTCCAAAGAGTATGCCTGCCGGCTGGCCTGCTCTTGGCACAATATGCATGCTCTTTTATCACAAGTCATAATTCATATTAGACCACCTACCCACCCATGGATGTAAACATTACGCCAGGCTTCTTCGTAACAGATATGTGGCACATGATCTCGGCATAATGAAGATGGGCCAGCCAAGCCCAAGGAAGCGCCACCAACTACGATGCCCCAAGGAAGCTCGGCGTTGAGCGTCGAGGCGTGGGGAGCTGAGCGTTCCACCCCAGTCCATTTAGCGCAATGCACCTTCACACCTCCATCCAAATCCTCTGTAGTCGAGCTCCGCCTATCGGTCTCGCACCAGTCGATTCGTAGAACACCGAGCTGTGGCTTGCGCGATTCGACAGACCCTGGGAAGGTGCCTGGTAGGTAGTCAAGATGATGAGTCGCGACTTCCTTTCCGTCCGATCAAAGTCTAGATTTCCCCACTTGCCTCCCGTGGCCGTTGGAACACTCCCCCGGTTCATCTTTCCTCATGTCTCACTGCCACATGTAGTGCCCGTTGTCGTCCTCTCCCCCACCCCTCTCTCTCTGTCGATCTTCTTCAGAGACGCGTACTGGGAGCAAAGACTTTTGACGTCCTTCGTTGGCGTTGGAAGCTATTGTCCTTCGTTTCAATAGCGTTCGCCGAGGCAGGTGCTCCTGGAAGCTGGGCTACAATTTTTGCGTTTCGTTACACTCGTCGCACCGACACGGTGCTGGCTTGGTTCATTACACTAGTATTCAGCACCACTGGAGCTCATCGCCGCCAGCGAGACGTCGAATTCGCCCTGTGTCACCACACCGTCTTACGACTGAAAGCCCTCTTCAGCTATGGCTGTTTGATGGAGTAATCACTTGGACGAATCCCAAAAACTGGAAACACTCAACTGCAGTTCCCTGCCTGCATGTTGACATCACCCCTGCGCAACGGACAACCAGACCTCATCTACTCGCTACACCGGTCATCCGAACTCATCGAGACAGATCTACTTCCACTGCCAACCAAACAATGCCTTCATTTGGGCCGCTTCAAGTCACACATCATACCCGGGAGAATCTACAAACCGACACAGCGACCCAAAAGCCGCGCTACGAAATTTCTCTTATCCCACACTCTGGGCATCTCGAAATCAACATCGGCGTCAATCGTTTTCTTGGGACACCATCCAGTCAAGCCTGCAACTCGTCGCCGGGCTCGCCTACGCGGCGCATCCTAGCTGTGCCTGACCACTGACGGCTCCCTCTAGCACTGGGCAGCTTCTGGACAGCCGAACCGACAAAGCAGAGGACCATTCTTTAGATTCCTCTTTCTGCATTGGCGTGGACTACAACACCCTTACGGGCGCCGACACATCGACCTCAGTGGACGAGTATCGTCGAAGCAGTCTCTCCAGCAAGGAGACCACAAGTCTGCAGCCCTCATATCGGGAGCCTTACGATTTAGAGGGTCGGGATTCATCTGAGCCTCTCCTGCCTCGGTCTCGCCGGAGTTCATCTGTTCAGTTCCATAACCGACCCCTTGAATCCGAGCACAAGAAGGTTCGGCGGCGGTCGTACCTTCCAGCGACTCCACGACACAGGTCTTTTCACTCGTTGGACGGCAGACTTGCCTTTGTCCACTCTTTCGTTTCGCCTGGGTTATTTCCGAGAACAGCCATCACACCAGAGACTACGAGTGACTTGATGGGCAAGCCGTGGGATAAGCTCGGTACAGCAGTTGGAAAGAAAGAACCTCACTCTGCGACGTCAGTTGACACACAAAACCTCACCATGCCGGCAAGGACTGAAAGTGCGGGTTTGTTTGCAGCAAGCCCTCCGCCATCGTCGTCTCGAACATCAAGAAACCGCTCCATCTCCGAGTATAGCACGTCCATTACAAGCAGTGATGGCACTCGTCGGAAGGACAAGACTGGGAGTCGTGAGGCAAAACAAAAGGATGGCAAAGGGCGGTGGCTCAGCCAAGTAAAAGAGTGGTTCAGTGCTGGCGAACCATCGGCACACGACTGGAAACAATTCAAGAAGGAAGAATACCAACGGAGAGGCATCAGCATGGGTGATCCGAACGCACAGGCCAAAATGCATGCACCCATCGGCCAAATACCGAAGAGCGCCACCAAACCATCCGGCGGACCTGATCCCGCCAAAATGGCACGGAAACGGGCAGAGCAGAGGTTGAACAGCCCCTCGTACGCTGGGACTCCGCCAAAGACGGCGCAGTCCATCTCCTCTGGATCAACCTCTAGCTTCAAGGATCGGAACATTATCGCTCCTTGGGCCTCCTGAGTACAAGTTCTTGCCATGCTGCAATGTCTTGGCGGAACGGGTTCGATGGAAGGAGAATCATTCTTGAAGCCTGTCATGGCTCGCTGGAATGCTGAACCGTGGTGGTGGAGGACGCGTTTGGTGTGTTGGGCGTCCATGTGTGAGACATCGAGTGCACAAGCCTCCCTCGATCAGTCACATGTTGCAAGCGTCGTTTTGCTCTTTCTACGTTGCCGTCTTTTTCGTTGATCAGCTTTCTTCAAGATACCCTTTTTGGCCCGTCCGGGCACTTAATCATCCAATAACAAATCTAGTACTAATTCATGGCTCTTTTTTCGAGCATGTACTGGTGATACTGGCCGAATGCTGACCAAGTGTCGAGGTCGTAATGCCTCAAATCAAGGGTTTCAAAAGCTTTCTTGCATTCCTTGCCAACGTGGAGAAGTAAGTGGACAAATTCAAGGACTTGAAGAACCTCAAGCACCTCCATGGTGCATGACGAACCACGTCAGGTAGCGTGCTATCGTGGTCATGAGAAACACCACTGGTTTCGCCCCTTCTTCATTTTCACGATCGATCGGGTGTCGCAATGCCGCCACGCGCCAGTCCAACTAGGCAACAGCCCCCAAGAACTCAACGCCCAGTCGCGTCACCGTCCAACATGATCAGTCCAGACGGGGAGAAATCAGCCCAGTCACCCGACTCGTCCAAGACCCGATCCGGCGCACAAGCTAGCACGGCCGACGCTTCTTTGTGAGGCCTTGTCGTATCGGCAGTAGCAGCAGGAGCAGCGAGAGCTCACCTCCCGCTTTGAGGCGAGGCAGGCTCCAAAGCTTGCATCGCGGCCGCGATCAGAGAGGGGATCTTCGATGGGAGCGGCGCCGCCAGCCGGAGCTAGTGTCCCGGGGTGGGCAGGAGAGGGAGTGGTGGGCCAAGGAGATTGGGCGCTGGCGGGCGGCTAGTGGGGAGCTACCGCCCCGAAAGCGCAATGCTGGGGAATGACGTACTCGATGGGAAGCTTGGTAGTACACGATGAGGAAAGCTTGACGAGAGCTGAAGTGGGGGGCGGGAGTGGAATGCAATGGGATGAAATGCCCCTTGGTCTGGGACGCATGGCATTTATTAGGTCGGAACAGCGGATTGTTTGTCGATTGCCCTTCCTTGAAGTTTGTTGGCACTCGAATGCCGCACTTTCTTCTCTCTTCTTTTCGACTTTTCGACTCTTCGACAACACCTCGCCGCTGCATCATCTTTGAAGAGAGGTGCACAACGCCAACAACAACAGCATCCAGCAAGACGGATCGATAACATTCAGGCTTTGACTGTAACGGAAGACCACATCTTTATCGTGTCACCACGAGACCAAACTCAAAATGGTTTCCCTGTTTGGGTCGAGCAACAAGCACGACAGTGAGAATGAGCCGAATGGCGAATCGGCATCCGCAACAGAGCCTCGCCGATCAGCCGAGGACCTGCGGCCCGCGCCCAACGAACACACGCGACTGCTGCCAAACCGACTTGACAGCGACCGGCCTTTCTTGACGGCCGATGACCCTGCCGTGAGTCCTTACAACTTGTGGGCCGTGCGGGCGACGCGCTACGCGACAGTGCTGTTCGCCATCATCTCGTTCATCTGGTGGGCTCTGCTGCTCGTTGCCACCTTTGTGACGCCACCGGGAATGCACACCAGAGGCTCTGGATTTTACTCGTTTAGCTATGCAAGCCTGTCGCTCTTTACGATTCTTTTTGTCTTGGTCTTCTTCGGCGCGCCCTCGAGAGCTGTGAGAATGCTCAGCGTGTTCATGGCCTTCATGCTGTTTGTCGACATGATCATTACGCTGGCAGTGCAACGGAATCGGCATGAAGAGGGCTGGGTTGGTATTACGAGTGTCATCTGTAAGTTGCAGGCCCGAAAGTGCACGGCTGAGAAAAGTCGGCCAGCTGCAGACCGTCATACTAACATCCATAGGGGCTCTATTCGTAAGCCTATGGGCTCTGATTGCGGACCGAACTGTCAAATGGGGCAAAGCTGAGGAGGAGGAACGTTTGACCGGTCGCATTGAGACAAGGCGGTCAGTCCTCGAATGGACCGCCGTACTCTTCTCGACTATTGCCTACGTTATCCTATCGATCGTCGTCGTTCTTCTCACCTTGACACTCATCGTCCGATCACTCGATGCGGGGCGTGCTCCTCCAGGCAAACGATACTGGGTCGA